TTTTCTTCTCTTCTATCTTCTCTGTCTCTTCAATTTCTATTTCTTTATCTATATCTTCTTGGATATTCTCTTCATTATTAGTCTTACCTTTTTTTTCCTCTTTACTCTTTTTCTTATTTTTGTATTCCTCTTTCTTTTTTATACTACTTGAGTTTCCATTCTCTAAATTATTGATAAAGCTCAAAATTTGTTATTTTAGTTCCTTATTTCTATAATCAGTAGTTCTTGTTTCTGACAGAGTTAGTGCAAACTTTCTGCTAAATACTTCTTTAGCTGTTTTTTTTAGCAAACTTGAAATGCTAATTTTGTTTGTTTTCTCTTTTTTGCCAATTGCTTCTTGGCACTCTTCTCAGTTATATACTTCTATTGCCTGTCTAACAATATACACTGTTTCTGGTTTTGCTATACCTAAGTGCTTTGCAATTTCTATATCTTGTTTTAGTATAAAGATATTTAATTCACTTAAGATTTTTATAATTTCTTTCTCCTGTCATTCAAATAGAGCTCTGTACTTTTCTAAATGTTCTATGATGATCTGATTATCTAATACTATTTCTATAACTTATGTGAAATTTGTTTATATTACTATACTGTTATTATGAACTATTGTCTATTGCCTTTTTAGTGTTTTATTTATTCTATTAATATTTTTATGTGCATGTGTTGTTGTTATTTTGTTTTGGTAATTTATAATGCTAGATCTCTGTAGTATGTCACTTTTTGTTTTTATAAAAGTAAAATTTGGTTGTTTCCTTTTTGTGCTATATGCTTTTGTTTGTTTTTTTTTAATATTTATTTGTTTAAAGTGCTGCTATTAGTGGTACTTTTGTCTTTTCTCTTCTTTTGGTATTTGGTAATGACTTTTGTGACATGGTTTTGCTATAAAATTTTTCTGTTTTTTGTTTATTATAGAAAATAAGGATTAGCAAAAAGAGTTTTTTTTTGCCCAATAGATGATATAAAATTCAAAATGTAATTTGAATACTGTAAGAATATTAAGTATTACATAATTATTAATTTGTTAAATAACATAATTTCAGTAATTTTGAATGTTTATATTATTCTTTTCTGATCTGATTCATTTGATAAATATGTTGAAACTGTCTTTTAAATTTGAAGATTTGCTTTTAGATAAAAATAATACAATTATAATAAAATATTATTAGTATTTCTATCTGATATCTTTTATTAGCAAGATACTAACTATCCTTTTATTGAAGTTGTAAAATTATTTTAGTAAATTTTAATAATTACTATGTTGAAAATATATATAGTAAAATATGATTTCATATATTAATCTGAAGCAGAACTTACCAATAATGTAAGCTTGTTTAATAATATTATTAATACTGCTAGTTGCAAATCAATATAGTTTGTATATAATTATGATATTTTTAATAAAATTAATATTAATTAACTATGCAAGATTATTGCAAACTTAAAGACATATTTAAAAAAACATAGCAATACCCTTACAAGCTACTAACATTAGATTTTATTATAGAAAAAACAGCTATATTCTTATTTAAATACTTTTATGAACTTTTTAAATATTATGAAAAAAGTAAACTATATAAGAAAAATTAGTATAAGTTAACTACTTTAGAGAAGATAGTTGATCCAAAATGTCTTTCAACAATATATAATGCTAATGCATTTTTATAATTAAATGCTTGTAATTATTGCTATTAAGAACTTAAGAATAACAAAATATTGATTTGCAGATATGAATATCATTTTAAATGCTATCAAGTACTAGAATTTGGTTGCTGTTACTATAAAGACTATTGCAAATGTGAAATACATAATAATATAAATTTTTTTCTGATTAGTTTAGAAAAAAAATCAAATGTTTTAACTATTAAGAAAAAAGAAAATGATGATGTTGATAAATTTCTAACTGATAAAAGTCTAACTGAGAATGATAAGATGATAGAAGAAATCTGACTAGATAAAATTCATAAAGTACATACAACTTTTTTAAATAAAATTAATTGTGTTAGTACTTAATAATTTGCTAATACTTTTGCAATTAAAATCTTACAAATAAATTTGACTAGTTATAAAAGTTTTTAACTGTACCTCTTTATCTGCCTAATAAGTTTTAACATTATATGTTGTGAAACTAGTAAGGTTAAAGACAAAAGATATGTATTAATGGAAGTTCAATAAACCTCTGTTATAACTCATAATATATAAAAAAAAAGCAATATTTTATCTTCTTATTTAGATTCTTCATCCATTGGGACCGACCGGATTAGTGTTCATTAAACAACAAAATAACTGGCAAATTACACGTGTATAACTATTTTTTCCGATTATTTAGTAATGAAAAAATTTTTCTTATAACGAATAGATTTACTTAGCGGGTGTATTTTAAAATTACAGTTGATCAACATAAATGACGATCATTTTATTTAAACCAATCAAAATGAACTTTACCTATGCTATTTATTTATTTATGCTCCGGACTTATATCGGTTTCCGATTCCTAGTTATACTAATATTCAATTATAATGCCGTTGGCAATTTTTTTTGTTCTATTGACAAAATTTTTATTCTATTCATCTATTGCTGCCAACACTGGATATTAATATAGCAATAAAATAAATAGAACAATAAATAGAATAGAGCAATAGAAATTAGAATAGAATATAATTTTTATCAATAGAACAAGAAATTGACAACATTGATTATCATTATGAAAGTTTGAGTGAATATGCCCGATCATCCGAAATATCTAAAGGTAGTTTTAACTTTTTACTTGCCAGGTATTGGCCAATCCAGGATACGCCATAATATAACCCGAAATGCTACGTGCACATTAGCAGATCTACGAAAGATCAGATGGATAAAAAAAAAGGCTTTTTTGCTTTAGAATTTAGACATTCTAAAATGTCTTTGGAAAGGCCTTTTTCGCCATAAAACTCTCAGGTATCAGGCAGATTTTTTGAACATGCAATCTTGATCAAAGATGATTAAGCTTCATAAATTCAACAAATACTAATAAATGCATAACAGACTTCTATTATATCATATATTTCTATTACAAATAAAAATTTATTAAGCACGGTAATATAATCAGCATATTAAAATATATATGGGGGATGTCAATAAAAACCAAGCAAATGGTTTTTAGTAAGTTTTTTTAAAATTTAAATTAAAATATCTCAATAACTATTAAACCAAGCTTGGTAAAATTTTTTTTATTTTAATTCTATAACTATATAAAAGTAAAATAAAAATATTTTTATCAAGTTTGGTTTAATAATTATTGAGATATTTTACTTTAAAGTTTAAACAAAATTTACTTAGAAACGATTTGCTTGCTTTCTATTGACACCCCTATATATATAATACTTTAAACGGTTAAGAACGATATAGAAATAAACATTATTTCGAGTCCTTTTAATATTGATAAACTTTATCGTCGGTTCTCATATTTGACATATCATCAAGACCGTAGTAGCTTTCACGGTCGTTCTTTTTTCAGTGGTAGTAGCAATAATTTCTTGTTCAGTGGTGGTAGCTATAGCCGTAGTTTCTTGTTCAGTGGTGGTTGCATTTGACTTGGCATATCTCAAAAACCATCTCACTCATCTATAAACGAGAATCCATTAATAACGTTGCGTGCAATAATGACACAGTGATGCTTGAAATACAATACCTGGCGCAGCATTTTAAATGATAAATGATGAAGTTTAGAGCCTCAATTAAAAATAAAAGCACTACTAAATCCACTTTTATTATCCCTTCAAGAAAATTTTCCTGAAAATTTTGATCAAAATTGTTTTTGCTAGTGCAGTTTACATAAATCATAATATAGATCTATATGTCATTATCACTGACAAGTTCTAATCTAAATCCTAGCCCAACAAAAAAAATTTTTAAAATAAGTCCAAATTTCAGCATCAGTTGTAATAATTATTATTTCAAAACTATCCTTTTTAATTTTCACTATCTAAAAGGATCAGCTTCAATGTATAGCTATTATAAGAAAACATGTTAATAATTTAATAATAGTTACGTACGTACGGTATTTTTACCTTAGTAGCATTTTGTTTCAAGTAATTAAATGCATCTGCATTAAAGTATCAGCACATACTAGTATACTTGCTGGACAAATCCCAAACCCTAAAAAACAAATTGCTTTTATAAAAAATCAAATTAACAAAATAATTTTGGTATTTTGTAAATATGTTATATATTTTCTGACCTTTGCGTTGATAACAGTACCAGGTACGCTAATTATTAAAAATACCGTGTTCTACCATAAATAAGCACCACACCCTCTACCCCATTTTTTTAAATGTCAGATTAACGGACATCGCAATGAGATCTTTAGCCAAGTTATTTCCGCTAATCTGGCATTTAAAAAAGTGGGGTAGAGGGAGTGGTGCTTATTTACGGTAGAATACGGTAGGTAAATTTTTACAGAATTCACTAGACAAAAACAAAAATAATTGATGATAATGTACATCGTTTTTGTACAGGTTGTCGTTTTACCATTGCTTTGCAAACCAACAAATGTTATAACATTGCAATTTTTTTGGTTTATACGGTTCGCTACAAAGCTATCCAAGTAACCTAGCAAATATCACGAAGAAATAAAACAAATTAGAATGAAATTCGTATCAAAAATTCGGAAGTGATTCAAATATCAACTTTCTTAATTCCAGCCGATCAATCAAGTACCTTTGTGTAGTACAAATTAATCGTCGAATCGGAATGATTATCGTTATCTATTTAATTAGTCAAGATGTTAAATTTGTGTCAGCTCGTGATTCACGAATTAAATTCTACGTAATCGTTAATTATTCAAGTTACAAAAATTAAATTACCATTTATATATAAAAAGGCAGATATGATTCCCTTAATCGTTAAGTTGGCCAATCAGAATTCTTGATCAGTCGACAAAAATGACTCATTCACGAGAACAATCATAACATCCATAATATATATGCGGTAAGATTTTTAAAGACTCTAGTTCGTACGTAATCATGACCGACCCCATAAGCTCTGAAAATCTTATAACTAGAATCAACATTTTCGATTTTGATGGTACGCTTTTCGCGTCACCACAACCAAATCGCAAGCTGTGGGTGGATCCATTATTTGGATATCTTAAAAATGATTCTATGTTTTACAAAGGATGGTACCAACATAAAGCATCACTAAGCTTTGATGAATCCGTAAGACGAGGAAGATGGAAAGGCTGGTGGAATGACGATATTGTAAGACTCGTTCGTGAATCAATAGAACACCCAACTTCGTTAACAGTATTGCTTACCGGACGCGGTTATTCAGAATTTCATCACATCGTCACAGATATGGTAGAACGAAAGGGTTTAAAATTCGACGTGTCAGGATTCAAACCGGATCAAAATACTTTTAATTGGAATTCGTTTTATAGACCATCAATTATCCAAAAAGTAGGTGCTATGAAATACGAAGAACTCATCCGTAACGAAACAATATTAGAAAGTAAAAACGGTAGGATCCATACGAAGGATTTTAAACTTGCATTTATGAAGGAATTACTTCGGCATCACCCTTCCGTTAATTCAATTCACTTATGGGACGATCGTGTACATCACGTAAAGTGTTTTCAATTATTTTTTGATGATTTGAAATTGCATGGAATAGTTCAGGAAGCAATTGCAAATGCTGTATTCCTTCCTATTCGGTATTTTGATCCTTGTCAAGAGTATCTCGTTGTCCAGGCAATGATAGACGATCACAACAAAGCAGTTGAAAGATTTTCGACCCAAGTTGATGGATCATCTCGAAAGTTTTCCTTAGGGAAAATTCAATTAGTGCCGAGTAGAGTTTAGAACCGGGTTATAATAAACCGGGTCATTCGTGTCAACCGGTCAAACATTTACAACTAGGATCAAAACGGTTGAATATGTAACCTCTAAAAATCTGTTACTATCGCTATTACACAGAAACATAAAATTTAACACATTATGTATTGTGAAAATAAACACATTTTTTTCCTACTAATTTCATCTAAATGTTTAATCCCGCTAATCTGTATTTTTAAAAAAAGTTACTTCAGAGGTTACCAAACGACTGTCTATTGCGAAATTTTGTTAAAACTTTTCCTTTCTATAAGTCTTCATTATTATTTTCTTTGCTTTGCTAATATGTAATACATTGTGTGCAGTATTGTCAATGGACATAGACAGTTTATGCAGTATAAAAGGTATGTTTACATGGACTGTACATGTTCATAGGCAACCAAAAACAATGGCTAAGGTAATTTTTATGTCCAAGGTTATAAATAAACCTAAGGAAGGGTCGGGTATTCTGGCACATCTAAAAGTTGCTTATATAAAATTTTTTATAAAAATTTATTGGTTTTTAAAATTTATTTAGATTAATTAATTATTATTTTTTTTGGTATTAAGGTGAGGTTATGCTATTTTGTCTTTATTAGACATATTTTATAGCTTGTACAACTTTTTTTACATTATACATTATTTATTTTTTTTATTTTTAAGGTGAGGCTTTGCTTTTATCTTTATTAAATAATTTGTTATAAGTAATTACATAAGTTAACACAGATTATAGATAAAATTATTATTTAATTTATTTAATTTATTTGTAACTTAAACTTATTAGAATGGTTTTTTTTTCTTTATTTAAGCAGTCTTGTTAGTTACTTTTATTATAATTTTTGCATATATATATATAAATTTTGGTTTAACATTTTATAAATATTTCTATAAGTTTTATAATAATTTGTTTGTACTGATTGTTTAATTTTATAAGAAATTAGAATATGTTAGGAGTTGTATTTGATTATTATTTTACAATAAAATATTATCAATTTGATAATATTTTCTTATAGAGAAATAAATAAAAACAAATATATATATATATATATATATAAAACACAGAAATATAAAAGTAAATAATAAAAAATATAATACAAGAAATAAAAAAATAAAAAATAAAAAAAAAGAGAAAAGATATATGTAATTCTTATTATATAACTATTAGATAGTCACAATTATAAACTTGTATCAGGTTTTTAAAAATTATAAATTATACTAAATAGAAATAACTTTACTATTTTTTTATTTATTTAGAGGTTTATGTAATTTAGCATATGTGTATTGTAATGCATTTATTTGATCAACCAATCAGATCATAATATTAGGTATAACATAAAATCAAACAAAATACTAGTTTTTCTAAAATCTTTTGTAGTTCAAAATTTTGCTTATAAAACTGCTTTTTGTGTTTTAATAAAAAAAATTCTTTGCAAAATTTTAATATTAAAATTATTTTTATTATTATTTAATTTTAACCTATCTTAATACTGGTCCTTATTCTAAATTAATGTATTAATTAATTTATTTTAATTTTATATTACACCTATTCTTATGGGTGCATTACAATGCATATGCACAAAATGATAAAAATCTTATTTAAAATATTTAACAAAAATTATATAGAATAAAATTTTAACTTGAATATAGAGAGTTAGTATAAAATACTAGTTAGTTCAAAAGTAGCATTTTATAGAACTTTAGTGATTTAAGATATATGTATAAATTATATTTGTATTGCTATATTGTTTTTACAATTCTGATTAAAAACTAAATACTGCTAACTGTTTTAGTAATTTTATATATTAATTTTTTAAAAAAGATAAACTAAATCATCTATTTTTTACAAATTTTTCTTTAAAAAAAAAAACAATAAATGAACCAAACTTTTAGTTTTTGTAAATTTTTTATTTATATAAGTATTTTTTGTAAATTTTATAATTATGCATAAGTAATATATTTAACTTTGTTGTTTACTTTATAAGCAATTCTTAGCTTTTATTAATTACTTCTTTTATAGTTTCAAAGCATTTTTAAATTGTTATTATAAAGTAATAACTTTTTTTCAACTTTATCTTAATATTTACTATACATATTCAAAGATTCAAAAAAGATATTATAAAGTTTAATATATTAGTTATAGTGTTTTTTTGTATTTCAACTTTTTAAAAAGTTTGGTTTTAATAATTATTAATAAAAAAAATTGAAAACCTACTAAAGTAATTAAAATTTACTTAGTTATTTATTATTTTTTTTATTTGAAATAGCAATTTTGCCTGTATGTCTTTATTAAGTAACATATGATTATATATTTTATATACAATAGTCTATCAATAAAAGTACATCTAGTCATATATATAACTTTAGTCATTATCTAATTAAGAATTTTGCTTATAGGTTATCTACTAGATACCATATCTAAGATTTATATATGAGTTCCTTATTTAAACTTTTTGATTTTAACATATATTGCATATATATGTAATGCCTACATTACTATTGTTGTAATATCTCAGATTAGGACTATCTTAGTTACTATTTATATCAAAGTGTTATCTCATTGAATATTACTAAATATTTATATTCCTTTGAATTTATCTTCAATACAAGTTTACTAAGCTGATACCAAGATTACTATTTAGATCCAATTTAGTATATTCTATATCTACTAAACTAGTTTTAATATCAAAAATGTTTGAATTTTAATAAGTTTGTTTTTTTTGTAGCTTCTTTTTATGTTCACTATATCACCTGCTAGTATATCTTTTCTTTATTTCTGGTATGTTCATTGCATCTCTTATATTGAGTACTAACTCTCTATATTGGGAAACTTCTTTTTGAGAATTTCTTTGTACACTGATTTTCTATTAGTTACAGAGCTTCATATATATTTATATGCTTCTGTAAATTACAGAGTTTTTGTCTCTAGCAAGAATGAACTATCAATCTTGTTTGTAGAAGAAGGTGTACTTAGACCACTAGGCTATAGAACTTCATTTCAGTTATTTATTATTTTATATATTTATTAAAATATAAAACTTAGACATATTAATTTGTAAAATAAATTTATTAGAGTTCTATATTATATTTCATTTATATATAACTTGGATTTTTGTTTTATATCTAATTATATTAAATAATTTATATATTTTTTTATATCTTATTATTATTTTTTAATAATTTTTAAATTAGTTTATTAAGTTATTTGTTTTTTTAAAGTTATTATTTTAGCATATTCAAAAGACATCTTTTTATAATATATATCTCAAGTTAGAATTTTGTTATTATTATTAATTTTTTGATTTAGATATTAGTAACATGTATTTTAGTATTATTTTTAATAAATTGTATATCTAACTTGTTTTTTAAATATTTTCTTTTATAATATAAATAAAACTATATTTTAAGTAACCTTTTCTAGTTATTAGTTATTATAGAATTTTTTTTTAATTTTAAATATTTTAATTTTAATTAGTACAATATTTATATTAATATATTTTTTTGGTTTATTATAAATTTTTATATTATATAATCAAAGCTTTGACTTGTTACTTTTAGATATATAAAACAGTTTATATTATTTATATATATTGTTATAGGATTATAGCTTTCTTAATATAATATAACCAAGTAACAAAGTTATCTAATATAGTAATTAATTATTGCAAATATATATGAAATAAAAATGTAATAGTTTACTTTATAATATAACAGTAGGCAATAGTTTGAGATAATAATAATATATGTTATAGTTCTGAAATTAAGTACTTTTTTTTATATATAATGCAAGCCAAAATTGTTATAATACAGACCAAATTGTGCATAGTATAGATCAAAAAAGCTTATTTTCAAAAGATACTTAATTTTGAAATTATATAGTAAATTAACTTTATTAACAAATACATAATAATAATCTTATTTGTAAAAATTATTTTAGAAAAAGAATATTATATTTACAAATTAGAAATAAAGTTAAAAGGGTCTAGATTAAAATATAGAAACTTAGAATTAGTAATGAAGAAGTAAAAATATCTTTTATATATCTTTTTGTCTAACAAAAATAATGAAGATTTGAGTAACATTACTTGATACTGTACTCAGAGTAGTAAAAGTTTGAATAATATTAATTAATACTATACTTAGAGCAATAGAAGTTTAAATAATATTAAATAATACTATACTTAAAATAATAAGAATTGTATAAAAACAATTAAGAATTGTTTATATCATTTGTTATTTATACTTAAAACACTTGAAATTTGTGTCAAAAATATTTGAAATTCTTGTATTATAATACTTGGCATAATAATTTAATATTAGAATATATAAAACTTAGATTAAAATAGTAATATAAATTAAAAATTAAAAAATCAATATGTAGTAATCTAGTAAAGTAGTCAGGTTGTCAACTCTCCAAATAATAAATTGGGTTTTCAAATCCTATTGATAGTAAAATTTGAATAATCACTTATATAATATTTGTATTATGACAACTGTTACTAACAATTGAGTTAGGATATCTGTAATAGCAGTTACACTAGTATAACTGGCAAGTTATAAAGCATTTATGTAATAGTTATATAATATTGTTCTTTGGGACAAAGTTTGTAGCTATATGAAGGAATACAAACTGGCAATTGGATAGTGCAAACACTAGATAAGTTCTTGTGATCATGTAAATCTGTTGAAATTAAGTAACAAGAAGTCTATTTGAGAAAACCTAAGTAGAGAGATAGTGAATCTTTAATGGCCTTACTGTAAAGGCTAGTCTGAAAAAATAGATACCAAGGTTATAGTACCTAGTTGTAGTAGCTGAACAGGCAAGAACCTCTGAGTTAGAAGTCTCAAAGGTATTACCAATCAGATCACCAGAACAAACTAAAAAAAAAGAATATTAGACTGATCTAATATACTA